CCCGGCCCCCGCGCGCCCCCCTCGCTGCCCGCGACCTTGTCGGAACCCCCTCGGACATGTGGTGTGTCCGGACGGGGCGTGTACGGGCTTCCGAGGGTTTCGGCAGCCGGTGAGACGGTCTCTCCGCCTGGGCCCGGGGGACAGCCCTGGGCAGCGGGTCAGAACCTGCGGTCCCCCCGCCCCGGGGCTTCTGGGTCAGCGCTTCCTGCCCAGCCCCACAGCAGCGGTGCCTGGCTGCTCGGGGTCCGCTGGCGGGGCCCACCTGTTAGCGCCTCCAGACCGCTGCTTGGCGCGAGTGTGGACAGGTCAGCTCCCGGCCCTTCTCAGGCGCCAGCTACCGTCTGCTACATTTGCGTTTCTCTTAAAAGTGGTGTCCAGCGTGTTTCCCTGTCTACTGGCTCTCGGAGTGGCTTCTCTGGGAAGTGACCGCTGAGGTCCTTTGCCCACGTTTATGGGGGCCATCTGTTCCTTGACTCTAGGGTTGTAGTGGGTTGGCGCGGGACGGCCATCGCGCACGCAGCCCTGGACCCTGGACGGGCCGGGGAGCGTGGCGCTGGGGCCCTGTGTGCTTTCTCTCTGTGCTTGGGCGCGATGAACATGCATTTGGACGGGGCCAGGGCCTGGATCTCTGCACACCCCAGGGAGGTGCCCCTTCTCTGCTGGACTTCCTTTAGTGGACAGTTTGCCCGATAGGAGGACAGAGTGTGGATTAAACAGTGGGGTCTCGCTTCTCTTTAAAAACATCTTCAGCGGGTTTCCCTGGAGGTGCTAGGGGTTGGGTCTCAGCATTATCCACAGCCACTGCAGCACGAGTTCGATCCCCAGCCAGGGAGTGACCCCCAGGGCACAGCAGACCTCTCCTCTCCTCTCCTGCTGCCCCTATTCAGCAGTGAATTTCAGTCCATTTGCCTGTTCTGCTCCCCACTCTGTCTCTGGTAAATCTTCTCACCACCACCCCCATCTCCTCACCTTTTCTCCCACCCCCTACACCCCAGTTCTTCTAAGCATAAATAAATAAATCCAAAACAAACCATTTTCAAGTCTGTCGCCTGTGGGCAGTGTTCAAGATCTTTCAGATCTCCCCAGGAACCACAGCTGCCACATCACCTCCCAACCACTGCTCTGGCTGTCCCTCCCACACACCTCACCCTGAGCCTGGTCTCCTCTCCCAGAGAGGACTTGCTTTGTCTTAGTCTCCCCTGAACCATGGAGTCCTACACACAGTATTACACCTGGTGCTACTCACATGTAGGTGAGTTTTCATGATTATCATCCAAAAGCCTTCACAGGCCCTCCCCGGTGGCACAACAGGTTAAAGCACAGCACTATGATGCTGGCTGCAGCCTCTTCAGCATGAGTTCCATCCCCGGCCAGGAAGTGGCCCACAGGTGCAGCCGACCCCTCCTGTCTCCGCACTGCCCCCCTCAGCAGTGCACTTCATCGGTTGGCCTGCTCTGCCCAGCTCCCCACTCTGTCTCTGGTGAACCCTCTCACCACCCTTCCACCTCTGGCCTGTACCCCAGTTCTGTATACATGAATAAATAAATCTTAAGGAAAAAAAAAAAAAGCTTTCACAGGCCCCAGAGGGATGGAGTAAGTATCCATGGATAAGAAACATACAAGTATTTAAATAAGTAAATGAATCCCGGTGCATTGTCAATACTGGCAGGGTGTGTGTGTCCTCTGCAGTAAACATGTGTGGGGCATTTGGCTTGCTGGTATGTCATGGCTCTTAGCATGGACATGATACCTGTTGCCTCTCCTTGAATCCACTTGTGGTGAGTGATTCCCAGCATTCATTTTACTACCCATCAGTCTAGTGCCGGCAGGCTCACATGCAGGCAGATGGGTACGGGGAGTCCAAGAGCTCCCGGTGGACTTTTCAGGCTTTAAAGCTTTCTCAGGAAACCAGGCACACAGGCAAGGAGGTTGGCGTGTAGGGAAGGCAGACATGCTGGGCAAAGGGTGCAGGGAGGGGGGAGGGGACCAGACCTCCCAGATCCCACGAGTCTTCACGCTTCCTCTGGGCTCTCTCTGGCATTCTTTTGCAGTCCTGCCTCTTCCAAGTCACTTGGCCTCTTGTAGCCTTTTAGAACTGGCCTCCAGGCTCAGGTGTGCACACTTTCACAAGTCGCACCCATGCTCCAGGCATCCACAATCAGGCGCACATGCCAGGTGCCCACACTCCCAAGTGCTTTGTGCAGCAACGCAATCAAGGCTGCAGGTGCTAGCCTAGCCAGAGACCAGTGATGTAAAAAACCTCAGTAATCCCTTTACCCCACAGTCAGCTCAGTCAGCCAAGAGTTTCAGAATAGACGTGTGACCCAGTCAGCCACAAGGTATGAAGGAAGCTTGCTGGTGGCTCCTGGAGAGACATTCTCATAAACTTTGCCAGAGATAAAAGGTGGATAGAAGGATGTTGTTAGGTCTGGCACTGCTGCACCGAGTTTTTGCGTATAGGGGGAGAGGTGTGCCTGCCAAGCCTACACTGAGGACAGCAGAGCAGAGAAATTGAGGCCATCTGGGAGGCCAGATCCAGGGGCCCAACCCCACTAACCCACTCATCTCCTGAGGATGGGAGAGCAAGTTTTCTTATTGTTTAAACCAACTTGTGTTGGGAAGCTTTTCTTTTACATACACCTGGAAGCATCCTGAGACATCCATGCCGATTTCCTGGTAGGAAGTTGAGACTTTAGGAGTTTGGGATATGAAAAGTTGACATCATTGGATTGTTTTTAAAATAGGATGGAAAAAGCCACTAAGAAAAAAAAAATGATTTACCAGACCCTTGGATGGGGCCAAACCACCAATATTCTAAGAATATCCTGAGCTTCCCTGGGGGTACAAGGGGTTGAGTCTCAGCACTGTGAAGCTGTTAGCAGCCACTGCAGCACAAGTTCCATCCCCAGACAGGGAGTGACCCCCAGGGCGCAGCAGACGTCTCTTGTCTCCCTGCTGCTCCCCTCAGCATTGGATTTCAGTCGGTCTGCCTGGTCTGCTCCCCACTGTCTCTGGTGAATCCGCGCACCCCCACCCCCCACCTCTGGCCTGTACTCCAGTCCTCATATGCATAAATAAATCTTGAAAAACAAGACAAAACAAAGCAAGACTATCTTCTTTACAAAGACAGGTGGATGTAGACTTTCACCCACTTTTACCTGTGACCCTGTACAGAAAGGAATATCCATAAAAAGGGGAGGCTCCGTGTTCTCTGCTCCACCGAATGAAGGAAGCGAAAGTAAACAGATAAGTCAAAGAGAAACAGCCTTATATGGGAAGGTTTCTGGCCAGGCAGAGCCATTTGTTGAGAAAAAACCTGGGAAGCCTGAACTTGCAGGTAACCAACTGACAAGCTCACAGGCCCTGGGTCCCTCGTTGATGTTTGACCAAATAAGCCCAAGACAAACACAGGCCCCAGGACTGGGAAGGCAGAGGAGAGAGAGCGGGTAACGGTGTCTTCCACAAGAACGCCACAGGGCTGGAGGACTGAAGTGGGCTTCGCCCCCCCCCAACCCAGCAGTGTACACTGGGCGCTCCTGCTGGAAGGTATGCCTCGTCCCCCCATCTGCGAGACCAGGAACTTTCAGGGCTTTTCCTTCAGCTTCATGCTCTGCTCTTTCTCACCTTGTCCTCAGGCCACTCCCCAGCCTCCTGGGTACTTACTGTGACTGCAGCATGCTGCGCTCCCCAAGGTTCTTCTTTGCCTGGCAGCTTGGGTGGTGCCAGTCACTCCCAGGCCTTGAGTCCCACCTCGGTGCCGACAACTCTGAAATCTCTCATTCACGTTTCCCATAGACACATCAAGTTGGCCACATCTAAACCAACCATGACAGCACCCGTCCAGCGGTTCGGGAGGTCATCTGAGGACGTGACAGCCGTCTGACCCACTGGCAGTTGCAGGCTCCCTGCCCGGATGGTGGAATGTGCGTGCTCTCAGCTTCCAAGGATGCGACCTTGGGCTGGTGATGTGGCCTTAAGATCACCTGGATGGAAGCTGTGACTGAACAGGTAAGGACTTGAGAGACTTGAGCGATCTGGCAATGGTGTGGCTACCCAGGGCGGGTCTTATCAGTCCCCTGCCTGCCGTAATGGCCACCACCGCCTTGCATCGCCTGCCTTTCATCAGCCTCTCCTTGTTGGGCATGTGTTTCAGAGCACTCCTGGGCACCCCAAGGTTGAGGTTGCTCCCCCAAGCAGCCTTTGGTTCTTTTCTGCGGTCTTGGTGAAGACTGTCACTGTTGTTACACGCAGCGCCTGCTCAGACATCCCCTTCCTTCACGAAGTCTTCCTGCTTCTTGCTTTTGATGCCCCTCGGCCCCTCTGCCAGCCTTCTTTCGGCCGACCCTATTATTCCTAGTTTCATGTCGTCTCTACGAGTCTAAATCAGCTTTGCAAGAGGCTCCTGCTACACCGCAGCTGTTCCTGCTTTCACACACAAGGGTTCAAGCAGGAGTCTCAAGTGTTCCCTACAGTGAGAGCGCTGGGTCCCTCAACACAAGTGCGCCTGACAGCCAGGCCAAAGGTGACGCTTTTTGCAGATGGCGTAAATAAGTGAGCTCCCAACAAGTGGAATCAGGGAGGGAAGGCAAGGCACCTGTGGCTGGGGGGAAACAGTACACCTGGGAGACCTGTCAGGCTGACCGCGGCTCTGCACGGAGAGGTCAGCGCCTCGGTGCGGCTCAGGCCCAAGGTGCCTCACGGGTATCAGGCGCCTCGGGTGTGGCTCAGGCCAGGCCAGCACTTGACTGCGCTGTGTAAGAAGCGCGTTGCATAATCGTTCTCATTAAAATCTTACCCA